TGGGTTTAATGAACTACATGTACATAATGTATTGGGTTTAATGAACTACATGTACATAATGTATTGGGTTTAATGAACTACGTGTACATAATGTATTGGGTTTAATGAACTACATGTACATAATGTATTGGGTTTAATGAACTACATGTACATAATGTATTGGTTTTAATGAACTACATGTACATAATGTATTGGGGTTTAATGAACTACATGTACTTAATGTATTGGGGTTTAATGAACTACATGTACATAATGTATTGGGTTTAATGAACTACATGTACATAATGTAGTGAGTTTAATGAACTACATGTACATAATGTATTGGGGTTTAATGAACTACATGTACATAATGTATTGGGTTTAATGAACTACATGTACATAATGTATTGGGTTTAATGAACTACATGTACATAATGTATTGGGTTTAGTGAACTACATGTACATAATGTATTGGGTTTAATGAACTACATGTACATAATGTATTGGGTTTAATGAACTACGTGTACATAATGTATTGGGTTTAATGAACTACGTGTACATAATGTATTGGGTTTAATGAACTACATGTACATAATGTATTGGGTTTAATGAACTACATGTACATAATGTATTGGTTTTAATGAACTACATGTACATAATGTATTGGGGTTTAATGAACTACATGTACATAATGTATTGGGGTTTAATGAACTACATGTACATAATGTATTGGGTTTAATGAACTACATGTACACAATGTATTGGGTTTAATGAACTACATGTACATAATGTATTGGGTTTAATGAACTACATGTACATAATGTGTTGGGTTTAATGAACTACATGTACGTAATGTATTGGGTTTAATGAACTACATGTACGTAATGTATTGTATCATATAAAGGAAGGGAAGAGGGGTAATCTAATTGGTGAATTGAGTACATCCTTTTAGCTTTTAATGTAATAAGGTGAACTTATCCTTATGTAATCTGATGTGCCACCTTATAGTAACTAATACACATATACCACAAGTACATGTAAATGCATTAGTATAGGTATGTACATTAGTATAAGGTATATTAGTACATAAGGTATGTACATTAGTAATTAAGGTTCATGTTGTTATATTCAATAGGTGTTAGTTGATGAATCAGCTCATAAGCCAGTGTATGCTGATCTGGCTATTGCTGCTAAAGGGAAGAGACCACAGGCAGCACCAACACAAGAACAACCAGTGGTATATGCATCAGTTAACAACAAAGTAATGATAATGTACATGTACATGTAATGGTATCTTATACATCCTCTCTCTCTCCTCCTAGTCTGTTCCTCCTCCCATTCCTCCTCCAGCTGCTCCTCATAAAGTATTGTATGCTGATCTATCAATAGCAGCTGGTAAGAGAACACCAAAGAATAAACCGCCCACTGAGGAAAGAGTAGTCCATGCAGCAGTCAATGGAAATGTAAGCCAATACACATTATACTGTATGGAGTAACACACCCTTTATCTCTCTCCCCCCTCTCTCTCCCCCACTCTCCTCCAGAGGAAGTCCACTACTCAAGAGCTGATCATGGATAGGTTAGGTGGTCTGGATATTCCTCCTCCAATACCACCAAAACCAAAACCTTGAAACCAACACAAAGACATCAATCCTCCCTGTCTCCAGTAGTATAGAATGGACATACTTTAGTATAATGTATTGTGAAACGATTAACTCTATCTTTTTAAATGTCTATATTTACATGTACATATTTGAGCAATGAATGGACATTGAGCTAATATTAACATTCACAAATATACATGTACTATCAGTGTACATTTATGTACATGTACCATTCACACATATTAATGCTTATCCTTGTGGTGTGTGTCCACACTTATAATGGGCTACCATTACTGTATGTTAACATTTGGAAGGTGTTTGTATTTGAAGATCATGAAAGATGTGCTTGCATTCTACTACCCTATATGTACATGTACATGTATACATGCTAAATGTATTTGGTACTTGAGTAATGGTAATTACTGTATAGTACATTTATAAATGCATGTACATGTACACCTATACATCATTATGATTGTAATATTGCTTTGATGATAATAACACATGTACATGTGTATCTTTACCAGTTTTAAGGTTGAATTGAAACTAATAAACATTACCTATTCAGGCGTTATATGGTAAGGCTTGATTAGTAATCTTCATGTAAAAATAAA